CAGGTGTGCTAGGCTTTTGTTTTTTAAAGATAAGCGTTATTTTGAGCTTCAATCTTTATATCAGATTTCTCAAACTAAGAAGAAAGAAAAGCATTTGGGTACTTTACACTCGTGCACCTAAACACTGCCAACTTTTCTCCTTTTTTTTAAACCCTTATAACAACATTTGCTCCACTTTAAAATGTGGACTGTTTTGCATGGAAGCACAATTAAAAACCGTTTTCAGAATAGAGCCCCTCTTTGTGATCAGCGCTGGCATTGAGGGAGACTTGTTTGACATTTTTTGTAGCACACAGTTTGTATTGCTGGATGATTAAGTTCTTGAGGTAGGCGTATTGCTAGGTATAACAATATGGAGTGGCACCTTCAGCATGAAGATTTACTCTGTAACATGCAAATCCAAATTCTCCAGTATCAGTGCTAAAAATAGACCCTCTTTAAGATCTGTTGATTTCTTTCTATTAAGTAGCTCCTCACAAATGTAGAAAGCTTGGGGTATGAAAGACCATCTGGACCAACAGTAAATACAATGTTATAATTAAGTACAATTGTCCTTGTTATTAATGTAAAAATCTTACCGTTACCAGATTATTTAATACTTCAGATTCCCCCCCTCTCTCTCTCATTTTGCAGAGATGGACTGAAGCTTGAAACTGAAGTGCTGGATGGAAAGCCTAGGCTAATTCTAGCTTCTTCTGGTATTCTTTTCTAATCGTTTATCTTGAATAATCTTTAAAGCTTCTTGAAGTTAAACTTAAGATCCAAGCAATATGAAGCACAGCTTTATTGAAGTATTTTTCAAGTTAGGGAGAATATTTGTGCATTGTTATTTACACGTCCTCTTACCCACCAGCTTGTCACTGGCCTAGGTTGATACTGAACTTCTGAGTAGTCTGTCTACTGATGAACAGCTGGCAAATAGTCTTGACTCTTCACAGCTTGTCTCTCCACTCATAAAAAAAATTAAGTACTATTATATATTGACTGACATAATTTCTGCGACTTTACAGCACCTCACTGACCTGCTTAATTTACACAGAATTACATCATTACAGTCACATTTCTGACTTCAAAGCAGCTTTAGTATTTGGCCGTTGATGTTTATAATTTTCAGTCAGCAGTTTATTTAGGCCAGATCTCATTACTACCGTCTGAGGTCGACTTTTCCGGTATATGTTCATAATTAAGCTTTAATAAATCCTATTTTTGTGATTCGTCAGACATCTGTTTCTGTACAAGCACAAGTCCACTTTCTGTAACTGTTGTACATACCTGTCAGGATACAGAAATTCTCCGTTTAGTGCCCTCTAAATGATATTTCATTTTCTGTCCTCTAAATTATACTTCATTTTCTGCATTTACCAGACAGCTGTCTAACGAGGCATTATGGGATATTTTGAGTCAGTCAGGAATAGCAGTCTACTGGAAACAAAACCTTGCAACACCTCTAGAACAGCAGTGCTACAGCTTTCACTTTTTCCAACCATCGTTAACATCATCAGCTGGATAGGGCAGTGTACATTCCAGAGCGCTCTAAGATAAAGCACTGACTTTGAACTAGCCTTGAACAAGCAGTCTTCTTCAGGAATTAACGTGTTTATACAACTGATATAAACACCACTTCCTTGAATTGAATAGTGTCACAAATTGCATCAAATAGTATTACTTCTGAATTTCAGTTTTCTGCACTGTAACACTGCTCACAGTCTTAGGGGCTAAAGTGGGATTATTCTGTAGTAGCTTAAGCTGCTGCTTGAGATAGTTGTTTCTCTTTTACACAGAAAAAAAAAAAAGAAAATAACCCATAAGCAGCTTTTTGGAGTTCCCGATTATGTATCTCCCCACTACGATGGCAAAGACCCTATTTATGTTTCTTTCTCCTTTCCACAGAGAAGTTGGGTTTGCATAGCACATAGAATCCCACCTTATTTAATTTCTGAATGGCCGGAAAGAAGCCCAAAAGTGACTTTTATCTACTCAGATGAGTGTTGAATGCTTGAGAACCCAGTGATAAAGACGGCCACAGAACACCCTTACTACTGAAACATTATCAAGATCATTCAGGATTTAATGCCTGTCTCTACAAGACAACATTTTGGCATACTCCCAAGTTTTAAAATGTTCATCTAGGTTGGAAACTATTAATAGTGTAGTTTTGCAGACTTTAAGAACAGTGTTCTCCAATGTCTTTAATTGGTAATGCAAAAAAAAAAAAAAGTATAGGTGCTACTAGTGCAAAATGTGCAACAACCACTGCCAGAGCAGTAATTGCATAGTGCAGCTGAAGCAGCCTTGTTTCCAACAGATGTGTTCCACTAAAATATCATCCCTAATATTTTCTACCCTTTTTCCATTAGCCATATGTGCAGGATTTCTTGTGTTGAGTACCACATTCCCTCTACTAACCAATATTATAATATTCTTTATTAATAAGTATGATATTAAACACAGTACTTAATATTATTTTTGAGACCACTACATCTCTGTGCATCCTCTAGGCTTTGGGTTAAAAGACTGAAGAGTATTTCAGGGCATAGGTAAGCGGCACGATAGTGAATGGTGTGATTATGCAAGTATTGTTCCTTTAGGCTGTCAGCAATGGAGACAGATAACATCATGTAGTGAGATGGGGTTGGATACAGGGACTATCCTGGAAGGATGTGACACAGAACGCAAATTGAAAAATCACAAAAACCAAATAATTAAAAATAAGCGATTACCACAGGGCTCTCTGAGAAACAGAGTCAATAGCAGGGGAGGATCAGACTCGCACAATGATTTTATTAGATCTACATAAAATTGGAAATAGTTACTGACATATATCTTATCTAATTTTTTTTTTCCAGCATACCTTTGAAGTGTGTATACTGAAATTTAAAAAAAAAAAAAAAAGTAGTAATATAATTGGGGCAGATGTTATGGGGAAAGTACTTTCCCCCTGCCTTACAAAAATCAGATGAATGTAACAGTTTATTAATTTCTCAAGATTGTTTTTCAGGAGGAAGTTATTATTAAATACTTCTCTTATATGTTTGCATTTGTTTCCCAAAAGATAAATCAAAGCCTGCAATGAAGGTGAGTGGAAAAATGACTTTTTTGGTTAGAGCACACAAATTAACTAGTTAACTAGTTTGTTAACGCAGAAATTTGAGAACACATTTGAACTAAATACTTGTAATCAATGATGTTTATGAAAGATAAATATGTATTTCTCAGGTTCATAATAGCTGTTAAAAAGGATGAATTAGAAGTTCTATGACTACTTTTACCTTTGCAAAATGCTGTAGTTTACTTTGCTAAGAAGTTACAGCTGCACAGGGAATCGCCTAAATCAGAACTTTGAGAGACCTTAAAGGGATTCTGGTAAAATAGGGATCTGAAGTGTGTTTAAGTTCCAAATTGGTTGTATAGGTTGTCTCTGTCTGAGTAAACTGGAATGTAGTGGGTTGGGGAAGGCAAGAAAGCAGAAAAAGGTCTCAGTGCGTAGGAGATAATTACAAGTGTACATCAAGGACCTTGAAAAGGATAAAACTTTAGTACAGAATGGAAGACTCAGGATTGAAATAATACTGGCTGTATGGTGAAAGCATACACCTGTTTGAAGCCAGGCTTCAGAAACTCCAAAGAAAAGCAGAATTAATGTTTATTACTTCTTTTAAATGTTATGCTACATAAAGTTACTTTTCATACTGTCATTTTTAAATATTCAAATTTAGGTGCTGTATTCTCTTCCAAGGTGTTCCTAGTAGTCATGAAAATACTTCATTAGTTTATACTGAGTTAGTTTCTATTGATGTAGCAGAGAAGAAAAATGACACTTATTTTACTTGTTGCTTCAATCTTGTTTTTGTTACCCATGCAAATTTATTTCCTTATTTAATATATGGTGATATCTTATTGCTTTAACAGATGGGTAATAAAGGCAGAGCACCTAAACAGGCATTGAGAATAAAGCATACTGGACATGTTCTGAGGTCAACACAAAATGCTTGTATCAAGCAGGAAAACTTAACAAAACCAAGGAGTGAATCAAGCTTATCAATGGCAAAAGGTGAAAAACTGCAAGTTACTAAACACTCCTCACATGAAGGCACAACTAAAGATCACTCCTTGATTTTCCAAAGAGATAGCACAAACAGATATCCCAATTCAGAGAATCCTAATGTTGTTAAAAGTAAACAGAAACCTCAAAACCCATGTGTATCAGCTGAAGACCTAACAAGTTTAGTATGTTTAACACAAGAACAGCTTCAACAGATTTTGATGACTGTGAAAGAAGGAACCAGAAGCATCTCTGAGACTCATAATGAAAACCAAGAGGAAATGGGTAAGGTACCAATAGTTGAATAGTTTTCATGGAAACAGAGCAAGATGTGGAAGCTTAACTTTGAGTTCATCATTTCAGTTCATTTGCAGGTTGCAGAGGTGTTACAGTTATGCTTAATGGTCTCAAACAAAATACTGTTTGCTATTAAGGATGTGAAATTGGCTGTTACTGTTAGGAACCAAGCATTTGATAATTTTAACAGAAAAAACTAAGGACTGATTGATAGTATTCTGGTACTTTAAAGAGCAAAACGGCAAGCAATTCTGTCAATATTTCACGCAAAAAAGGAACCATTTTACATTGGGGGGAAGAAACATAGTAGAACTGCACTGTACCATTACCATTAGGAGTTTGAGAAAAAGCAATACCTCAAAGAGATAGGCCTTTCTGGCTTTGTGAAGAGTTCGGGTCTTGCTGTGTGTCTCAAGAGCAGCAGTGCCATTTTCCTCTGGCCCGAAGACATCCATGTATCTTCTTGCCTAACTGTAATATTACTGTTGAATAGTATTTTATTTTTTTTCAATTCTTCTACTCGGAAGCATGAGAACTATTGCGTGTCTTGTATTACATCCTTACTCCTGTTTGTGGACCTATGGAGGTGGTCAGTGCTTTGCCAACAGGAACAAGACACGCTGCAATTAAGTAATTAGAGTCCCAGAGTCTGAGCTCTTAGCCAAGAATAGTGTTTACTGTAAGTGTAGCATTCTAAAATACCCTGTGACGTAGTATCTTACGTGCCTTAACCATACAAGCAGGGCTGAAAACAGTTTTGTTAAGTAGTGGGGAATTTGCAAATTTCTGCTGTTTGTGAAGTATTTATTCAATGCTGAAGTTAGTGGTCATACATATATATTTATATATTTTTGTAATATATTTATATTCTACCACAGCTACTAATGAGGCATCAGAGGAAAACATTATAGTGTTGCTCCAAAAAGCTTGTGAAGTTTCATCTGTTCCAGAAGGAGCTAACTCTGATTCAAGCAGAAAACAAGAAGCATATCCACAGCCAGGACAGAAGGTTATGTATGTAGATCTGTGTTATTGTCTACAAAAATTGTATCTCCAATAAAGATTTGTATTGTAATTCTTAATCACAGTAACACTAATTAAAAAATTAGCTTTAAAATTAACACTTGCTTTTTAGGTAAAATTGGTTTTTTTCCCCTTCCTTTTCTCTAGAAAGGATTCGTGGAAACCTGCTGACATGTTTAGTACCTTGGGTGAAAGAGAAGGGGAGAAAGCCTTATTAGAATTTAGAAAGACCCAATGGAAGAAGGAATTAGGTACTTATGATACACAGAATATATTTTCAATCAGTTTATTACACTCAGGATGCCAAGAAACTTTGTGTTCCTTATGCTCTTTTAAATTTACTTATATCAGTGCAGTTGCTACAAATTGGAAAGTACATAGTTTTATTAGTCTCCAAGACAGATTAAGATTCTTGAATTTCAAAATTTTATGCAAAGATTATCTATAACTTCCTGCAAAAATGCTTCTTAACCAAGTTTGTGATAATATTTATAAGTATATTCAGTTATGCTTCATATTTTAGGAGTTACTTGCCACCGATTTTGTCCCATTCTGCCAGTAGTTGATAGCCATTATCATTAACAAATTAATTTGTTTTTTAATCGGAAAAGCGTCACCCTAATCTACAAGCATGACTGAATATATCAAATTGCAATTTGAGCTTGAAACAGTTTGCAGTCCTGCCCCATCACCAACCAAGGGGAATCTCTGTAGAAAAATAGAACTGTTTAACACAGTAGTAAATTCTCTCTGACAAATTAAACTTTTTATGATTCACATGCAGGAGTGTTGTGTTTTGTTTTCAACTTGGGTGTAGACCACCTGGTTTCCGGGTTTGATTCTGCATTGTCAGTAGCTTCCATGTATAGCTCCATCAGTTTTAATAGTATTACAGTAGTCCAAAACTGGTATAATATAATGGAGATAACGTATATACTTGGTTATTTCTGTTAGTTTTCCCTCTTCCCTGGGACATTGTTAAGCCTTCAGTGTTTTGTAGTCTTCTCGGAGAGATTCCCCAATTACTTCTACATCTCTGGGCAGAGACTCAGCCACGATCCTCTTAAGAGCAAGGTCATGTTTAGACTGATTGGTCAGACAGTGGTGACTTACTCTTGTAGTCCATTTTACAATCAAAATTACAGGGTAGACATGCATTGCTGCTTTTTTGGCTTTTTGTTTGTTTTTTTTTTTTTTTAAAAAAAACCTGCTACACATCTGTATTGGGAATTCTTACTAGTTTGTTGTTTTTGAAGATGAACAGGTAGCACTGAAGAAGAAACTGAAAGAAACTTTGGAGGGAGAGGTGGGTTATTTCTGGGCAAAACCTGGCAATAATAAAGCCCATAAAGAGAAAGTGGAAACAGCTGACTCAGATAAGGTAAGGCTATTAGTAAACAAAAAAAAAAAAGTGCACGCAGTTTCCACAGCACTGTTCCAGAACTGTTCAACTTCTAATTCATACAAGATTTTCTTTTCTATACGAATCCAGTAGAATGCAATCTCAGCGGTCATGGCATGAATTGCTGCAACACCCTGTTTCGCACTTAGCTATTGCTCCAATTTGTAGCTTCACAAATTAAAATCTTTGTAGCATGACCAACCCATTTGTGTCCTTCCATGTTGATTCCTAACTAAAAGATATAAGTCTTTTCCAGTTCTGTTTTGAGGAATAGTCTCAAATGTTATTCCTGGTCATATCATTATTTACATTGTTCATGAGCTCTCACATATATTTGATTGCTTAGATAATGAGCATAGCAAGTTGACTTTTACTCTAACCTGCCTCTTAAAAAGTCAGCTGTCACTCTGAAAATGCTGTGTCAGGTAGACATATTATACTCAGACAAGACTGCTTCTCCAGTGAAATTGATTGCTGTTAAACAGAAGTGAGGGTTGTAAATTGCTTTTTTTGTGGCATATTCAGCATTCGTAGAAAAGTTACCACTCTACCACATGAGAATTTGTTTCAATCTACATAATTAAGAAATACTGGATATGAAATGCTTAGTTACAAGTTTTGGCTGAAGTTTTAATGAATAACAGCTTCTAGAAGTATAATTTACTTGTTTATTATATGATAAGGGCTATTTAATACAAACAAAACAGGTGAGGTAAATAAAGGTCACTTTATTTGCAGACAATGGTTCCAGCTGACTCAATTGTTACCACTGAGGAAAACTGCGTCCGCACAGCTGCTTTAGCCACAGAAGCTAATAAAGTTCCACTGAATGTTTCAAGTGCTCCAGCTGGGCAGGCTTCTGATTTCAGTTGTTCTGACTTACCAGCTGTCAATTGCACAGCATTTGTTTTAGGGGTAAGATTTTAAATTGCATGCAGTTTTGGTTTTTTTTGGGTTTTTTTTTTTTACTTATTTATTGACAACACACGTATATCTTCAGTAGTTCTTTTAAACCAGAAGAATTCAGTAGACCTTTTTGCTCTATCTAGAGAATTGTATCTGAATGAATGTTTATCGAAATACTGATGCTTGGAAGACTGAGTATTTTCAAGGCTGATGTGAGGAACAGTACTAGAGGTGTGAGCTGAAGTCTTATTTAGCTTTTAAGTATGCGTTAAAGAAATAGAGAAGTGGGAACCTATCAGAAATAGAAGACTTTAAAAAAATATATTCATGGCAGAAGGTTCAAGAAGTGGTTTTTGAGTTACTGCTAGTAGGCACTGATTGAAGAGTGGTTTTTGTCAGATAGCATTGGAAGTTCTCAGTGCCACTGGAGCGTGTTAAATACATCCATTAAGAAGCAGGAACAGAAGATGGTATGTAGGATTTACTTGAGACAGATCACTACTAATTAGATCATAGTGCTGAATCTACCTGGAACATGGACTGAGCAGTGAACCATGGAAGAAGGAAGGGATTTTTATTCATGATACATATAAGTAAGTTTTTTTGGAGTGAGAGGCTGATGGTTCACGTTAGAATAGTATTCAAGGACTGGCTTATTTAGCATCTTTCTAACAACTGAAGCGTTTTTATGGAGCAGTCAGACACTTGCTGCAGTTACAAACTTACATTGATTTTTTTGTGCAAGAGAACAGCCCGGTTACGCCTAGCAACTGAAGGCAAAGTTTTCTGCCGCCTTTACTATGTGGCTAGACAAGGTATTGAATTTTTTGTACAAGGAAGAGACTAGTGCTTATCTTATTTCAGGAAGCTGTGCCACAGGAACGACCTTCTAGTGCTTTGAAGCATGAGCAACAGAAGAAGTGGCTTGAAGAGCTGGACAAACAGAAGGAAGAAGCTAAGCTACGAAAAATAGAAGAAAAACTTAATTTATCAAAGGTATCTGTGGTTTAGGGGGACTTTTTGGAATAAGAGAAGTTTTTCTCTCCATTTTTGTTCTAAGAAATAAAAGATGAAATCGTAGACCTAATGAAGTAGCGACAAAGATGTAATTACCTGCAGCACACGCAGGTTTTCACCATAAGTCCATAGGACAGTCTAATTGAGCGTTCAGCCAGTAGCTGTTCCAGTAGTTCGGTGGCAGAGAACAGACTACCATGTGTCTGGTGTGATGTGTTAGAGTGCTTGCTGCAGAGATGAAAACAGTGATGTTACTATACTTTTTTTTTCTTTCCCACCATTGTGTGAAAGCACTAGGGTTTGGAAGGTGTTGTAGAGACACTGGTCAGACACTTTGTAAAAAGACATTTTCTGTGGACTACGGAAGGAGATGAGAAAAAAAAGAAGGAAAGTTATAGACAACTACAGCGTGTTCAAATCCTGTTTCTAGAAATATTATTTTGATAGGCATATGTCCGCATGCACATACGCTCTTATGAAGCTTTTTTAAACACTTCTACTGCAAAAACTATTAAAGAAAATAGCCTTACCTTTTTTACCCCTTTGGTTTTTCCAGGCTGTTGAATGTAGGTCTCTTATGCTGGATCTAGAAGGAAACTGTGGCTAATATAAAACGTGCAGTGAGATTGTGCTATTGCTGGAATCCAGATTTCCAAATTACTGTACACAGCTTTAACCCCAGGATTATATTTTTCACCGTGCATGAGATGCATTCCTATCATGAGATGTTCTGTATTTGTAGTGAAAAGAATCTTGGTTGCCAAAACTTGATTGATATGAATGTTCGTAGTCTGTGGCCTTCTGGATTAAAAGGCTACAGTTTCTACTCTCATCTGAAGCATTTACAGCAATTACACAATTCCAAGACACAAATTCTTCATTGTAATTCCACAGCTTGTAGTACTAGAAGAGAGCTTTACTACCCACCCTTCCCAAAGAACCCCTTGTTGCCAAGCTTGGTTACATACCTACACACAACACAAGTCTTTTTATTTCCTGAGTTGTTGAAGGAAGCAGGTTTCCTTTGCAAATTGAGCTTTGTAACTGTGAAGGGAAAACAGCTGTGAAAGGTTCCTTCATTAGCTGCCTTGGTTTTTAATTTGATAGCTGTGCTGTGGGAAGATGGTTGCAGTCACCAGTGAGTAATCTAGCAGTAATCCCGCTTCCAGCCTCTTTTTGAGAGGAAGTTAATACGCACTTAATCTCGTTTTCTTCAACATCTGTTTTTTTCAGGTCTTGTCTCTCAACCCTTCTGCATATTGCACCACAGACTTGCATAAGAATAAAGCAGATTTTCCAACTACTCTGATCTGCTTCTACATCACAGAGTATTCAAGGGAACAAAACTCAGGGAACAGGAGGAAGAATAATTCAGATTCTTATTATTTGGACTATGGTTTTCTTGCTTCTTTTAAAATAGGTGTGAAACTTTTCTGACACGGGATTTTTTTTTTAAGGAAAGGACTCCTAGAAAGCTGATGAGATTAGATTATGTTAGGTTTTTTCCTGCAGAATGCAAGTTTTGAGGCAGCCATTCTCCAGTCCCTCCAAAGAAACAGTTCTTGTTTTAGTCAGAAGAGAAAACCTTTTCAGTACCTGTAACAAAAACAAAGGCCCATTAGGTAAAAATCTTCTATCAGTGATACATTGGAATGTCCCAATTGCCAACACTGACCCAAAAAGATAAGCCTGGGTGGTGCAGAAGAGAGACTTAAAGCCAGTATGTTTTAGGTACTTTCCTAGGATAGCAGTAGCGGCTGCTGTGGGTGGAAGATACTTTGAAAGAAGGCTTATTTTATAATGGGCCTGTCTAGCTCAAAATAGGAAGTTAGAGATAACATCTCTGCCCAATGCACATTAATTCTGCTACCATCCAGAATTAAAATGGAAGGGGTAAATGTAGGACAGTGTAAAAGATGCCACTTGTTCATGTTACTAGAGAGAGAATACGTGTGCAACAGGAGAAGAGTATGGCAGAGTGGACAGGGTACTGACCTCTCAATCAAGCAATTCTCAGAACTATTAGAAAAATTATGGAGTGGAATAGTAATACAAATTGAAAGAGCAGTACCAAAAAGCCTGAATCCAAGTTAACTTCTTTATTTTTCAATGTTTTTTCACTTTCTAATTTTTTGTTTCCTGAAAATATAGTAGCAATATGTTTTTGCTGACCAAGTGTATGGATCAGCAGTATAATTTCTGACCTGACTTGCATTTTAAGCAACAGACTTCTGTTTTCCCATTTAGGGAATTAACTGCTGTCTGTATTGTAGCCCCATAACAGAGCTTTTCAAATGTTCCTGTTTTACAAAATGTGTGTTGTCTGTTTTGTTAACCATACTTCATAGAAACAGTGTAATTGAGCGCATTTCCCTTTTTTTGTTGCTTCATATTTATTCAGGCTGAAGAGCATGACAGATGGGCAATGCATTTTGATTCTTTAAAGAACCACCTTAATGCTAATGCACAACACCCCTTAAATGGAATGTACAAAAAGCAGCCTGAAAGTCTTTGCCTGTCACCTGACCCTAAGGAGCTGACTGCTTTTATTCACCCTTTTTCACCTGCAGCTTTAAGCAACCTCATGCCCTCAAAGGTGGGAAATGCAGAAAAAGCTGCTAAAAACAGTGCTTTGGAATGCAGTCAGAAAGCCAGGTGAGTGAGCTTTGTAAGGATAACCATCTTCCCAGGTGGTACATTTCTGATACCTCCTCAGAAATAAAAAAAAAAAAATTTGAATAAGATTCTTCAAATCTGATCTTTGGATCTTATTAATTTGGCTTTTGCTTTTTTCAGAAATACCCATTGTTTCACTTTGGAAAGACACAAGTGCTTGCATTGTTCATTAATAAAATTTACTGCAAATAACCTTACTTTGTTCCTTAGTAAAATGAATTTCATAAATGTAAATTAATACAATGCAATAACGTCAACATGAAAATATTACTTGAAATCTAATTGATTCTAATTAAGAAAGGCCTTAGGATTCTTCTCTTATGATTAAAAACATTTACATGTTTCTTTGTTCATAGTTTTCTCCGTTCAATGACAGCTCTCCTGGACCCTGCACAGATTGAAGAGAGAGACAAGCGGCGGCAGAAACAGTTAGAACATCAGGTAGACTTCTGTTTTACTAACACTATTTTAATGAGAAGAAAGGATGAAAGGTAGTGTTGTCACATGAATAAAGCATGATATTTAATACCAGACTCCAGTGAGGTACTTGGCCTCTGTGCTTGAGATTACACGTTTGCAGTTGTTTAACAGCATTTCATTCAGTTAGACTCTACCGTTTTCTTTTAGTATTTGTAGAGAGATGATTGCATTTCCATAACTGAATTCTTGCCTCAAAAAACGTACAGTGCAGTCTTCAGAGCTCTAGTAGGTTTGTGTGCGTTTCTCTTCAGTCTCCACCGTCATCAGGAGGACTGATACTTACAGGAACCCACTCCATGCATCTTTAAATTTTTAGCTACTTTACTGTCATTTACATTACTTCTGTGGCACTCTAACTGAATGTATATCTGCATGATGATGTCTGTAGCACAGTGTAAAGAAGTCTTAGCATAAATGTAATGAGCCTGTTCTGGTCAAACTGTTATTCTGCTAGATCGAAATACTAGCTTTCAGTATGTAAGGTAAAAATCAGACCACCGTTTCTTTACAAGAAAAATAAAAGCATTTTTGAAAACATAAAAAGCTACTTCTGTTTGTCTCTGAGTATTTCAAACTGCTTTATTAGGCTGGTGGTTCAACCCCCCCAAAAGATTAAATAAATAAATAAATAAATAAATAAATAAATAAACGACAGCTACCTCTCTTGTGAGAAATTAAAAGAAACAAAAGTGTTTGAAAGAAATTGTTTGATTTTTTTAATTTGTCCAAATCCAGTTATTATACACGTATATGAAAGTATATGAATATATAGCTCATAATACCTTTAATGTTACATCTTTTAATTTTCCTTTTTTTCTGATATTACTAGAAAGCAATAATGGCTCAGGTAGAAGAAAAACGGAAGAAGAAAGAACTGGAGGAAGAGCAGAGAAAATGGGAAGAACAAGAGGAAGAACAGCGCCTAGCACGAGAAAAAGAACAAATGCAGAAACAGTTTGAAGAAGATATGCTGAAACAAAAACAAAAGGAGGTGGGTTTTTGCATTTTCCATAGTGCAGGTAGTCTGTAATAATACAGGGGTTTGAGGAAAATGGTTCTTGTTCTTCACCTTCAAAATGGTGTTGCCTCATAATTTTGAAAATTAAAACTATCTGAAATTTAGACATTTTGAAACCAAAATCTGTTTCCTCAATTAATAAACACATAACACCATACGAGTTTAACGCAGGTTGCTTTTTTTGGACAAGGGCCTTGTCAGGAAGAGAAATGGATAACAACTGGCAAAAATGGAATTGTAATTTTAAATAATGCAGAAACATGCATTACTAAATGCGAATTTTAAATAAAAAAGAAACCTTAAAGTATGTGATCCCATTATTGTTGTTGGTAACTTGATGCTTTTAAGATGCTTCAGTACCATGAACTTTATCTGACTGGATGTGCTTTCACTCTGGATTAAAGACTTTTCAGAATACATTCTGGAAAAGTCATTTTTAAAGTCATTCATGTTCTAGACCTTTCTTCTCTGTAACTATTGCTGAGCTTCACATACTCCTTTCATATAAAAGTTAAATCAAAAGTAACGTTTTGACCTTTGGTAAGTACAAATTTTGCATTTGTATACATTCTCACCTGTTACAGAAGAGTCTGTAGAAGGTTAAAAGCCTTGTCTGATGTTTTATTCTTCCTTTTGGCACAGTAGCAGCTATTACTGTTTGCTTCATATTTGGAACAGTAGCAGAACTCCATGATGTCATAAGGCAGTGTGATTCCAAAAACACCCTCCTCTCAAACCTGCAGAAATATGGATCCCCGATTCCTCTGCATTTTCTGGATGGAAAGGTATAGCATCTGCCTGTAGATGCTAGAACAAACTGGTAAAAAATTGGGAAAGTTACCTTTCTCTGTCATAGCTCAGCTCCTTCAAAACACGTTATGCTATCAGGTGGTGTTCTTTCCACCTGCAAATGCAGCAGGAAGCGGGGATGAGATGGTAATAGCGGTTTGGAAAGGAGATTTTCCTTGGCCCAGTCCCCTGCACCTTGAACCTGCTGAGTCTGGACACTGTAACCCTCATATGTAGGGATGTTCTGCCTTTGTTAGGGAGGCTTCTATTGTCTCCTCTCCGTGGAAGGAGGAAGAAGATGGGGGGTTTAATTATTTTTATTTAGGCTTCTTTTATTTCATTAAACCACATGATACAGGAAGTCATAGATGGCTGAAATCAGATGGCATTTAGGAAAAGATGAATTTATTAGAAAGCAGATAAATATCCAATAAATATTGGTTTTTGTTTTAAAAAGAAAAGGCTTTACTCAAAATAGGAATATATGTAAACCTTGAGGATTATGTGGAGATTAAATAATCCTATTAATTTTATTCTCAAAATAAATGATCACCTATGTTGTTTTTTTTTTAAAGGAACTCGTGACTCTCAAAACAAATGAGCTTTATCAGACAATGCAGAAAGCTCAAGAATTAGCACAGAGATTAAAACAAGAACAGCGCATTCGAGACTTGGCTCAGAAGGGACATGACATTTCAAAACTTCAGAAGAATCTTGGTGGTGGCAAGTACAAGTCTTTTCGTATTCACTTTGCTTATTCCTTTGGTGTTTGCATGCAAGTTGTTGGTGGGGTTTGGTTTCGTTTTTTTTTTTCCCCTTCTGCATTTGGGTCAGAAATTGCTCCTTTGCTTCACAAACCAAATTTCATTTAGCTTATTTAAAGAGCCTTCCAAACAAATATCAGTGTTAACTAATATGGAGAATATTATATTTTACTAAGCTTCAAATACTATATTACATAAAGGAAGAAATATAAAGATATTACCAGGAATGTATAGGGAATATTCAGACCTGTGTGCCGTCGATTAGATTTCCAGTGAAAAAGGGAGCGTATTAGGATCTGAACCATAGTTCTTAGTCTGGCTTTGAGTTCTAAACCACAGTAGTCTGATAACTTGATAGCACGGTTTAAATGGAACATACGTTACTAAACTGAACAATTTTACTTGTTTCTTTTTTAGTTGATACAGAATTTGAAAATGGTAATACTGACATTTCACATCAAAGTCACCATTTTCCTGATGACATTAAGAGCCACATTGATCAGCAGACTTCTCCTCGGAAAGACACTGCTGTACAGACAGGTATGCAGCCCCTACATTTAGTTACTCTGATGTACCTTAAGAAAGACAATAGAACAGCATATTTGTGAAACTGAGCTACAGGGCCACATCAGTGTCATTCAGAAAGGAATAAAACTAGAAAGAAATACTTGGATACACACAGGCATGTTGGAATATTACTGTATTCTTCTACATAAAGTATACGTCTGTATATTTGATACTTACCAGTTACAGATTCAAATCACCCAGTCTGAAATATAGTGTTGACTTAGAGTCATGGTCACAAGCCACATAGGACTAAATTTATTAAGGCGTTTAAACAGGTATTTGTAGTATCTTCAGTGTGAATGTTCACAGGTTTACATAACGTAGTTTGGTATCGAGCAGGGCTGGGCTTCTAATGAAGCCTTGAAAATATTGGCAGAAACATTGTCAATAATTCGGGAACTAGAAAACAAGACTCATTAGAAAATGAGAGCTTACATTCAAATGTTTAGAAAAGCTTTCTACAATTCTTGGTAAATACCCAGACAGGATTGGGGGGCCATCTAGATAGAATGCTGCCCAGTCTTTGTCTTGATTTTGTATCACACCGTTAAAAAACACAGAGCAAACTTAGTCTGCATCTATTAATATTGTAGATGAGGTGTCAATGAGCAGATTCAGTGGAACCTTACAGTCACTTTATGCCTTGTATTTAGACATTGATTAGCTTCTTATCACTTGTGAAGTGGAAGCTTTATTTCTGTTTGCTTAAGCAACAATTAATATTTTTGGTTTTGACAGTGCTGGTAGAAATTTTACTGTGATTTTTGAAGAGTTTACAAATTAAATAATGGTTTTGTGTATGCCTCTTAGTAAAGAAAGAAGCTGGATTGTTAGTGATTTAAAAATTGAACAAAATATTTCCATTGGAAGACAAGGATTGGGAACGTAAATTATTCCTAGTAGCACTGTGAATATGACCAAACCACTGGCATGCTGAAAAACTCAACAGAAGCTGTGTTTTGCTCTTTACGATTGGGTACCATGACAGAAATAGAATTCTACATTTTAAAATAATGTAGTTTCATTCTACATAAATATTTTGCTTTACAGGGGCTTGATTTTGTTCTCCAATATTTCCCCCCACCCCGAGTTTGCTTCTACTGGTCCTATCTTCCACATCAAAAAGAATAGAAAGCATAAAACTGTAACAGCCGATTTTTGAATAAAATCAGTAATGGTAGATTGATACACATACAAAAGTCAAACAAGGCATTTGAATGGCTTAGACTTGGAGTTAAAATATAATTCTTTTTTTTTTTAGATGACTTTAATACTTCAGCATACACCGAGTCAGCTGAGGAAAGAACTGTGTGTTGCGGATCGCCCGATATTTCCATAGAATATAAAGAAACCTCTAGCAGCAAAAAATACCAGAAGGAAATGCAGTGTATAGATAAAAACAAAATTTCAGGAAAAGAGAATGGTGGCATTTACAGTGATCTATATGAACAATATGCAAGAAAAGAAAGACGAATCAAGCCTTCAGAAAAATACAGCAAAAGACCTGACTGGAACATAAACAAGCCTGGGAAAAGATACGTTCCAGCGTCAGAAAGATACCCTAAACAGCTACAAAAACAAAGGGAAGAAAACAAAGTAAGACGACAAATGGAGCTGCTTCAGTTGGTAGAAAGGAATACCCCTGGGAATCTCTGCCCAAAAAAGGGTGGTTATTCAGACAGGTCTCCTTCACCTCATGAGGAAATAAATATGAAGAATAAGGGACATAAAGTCAGAAAGGTAAATATTTGGTCTTTAACAACAATGATGTGTGTTTTTAAGACTCTCGTTCCACCCTGCTTTGCCTGGATGGGAATTTACTTACGTAACTCAAGCATTGAGAATTTTCCTGTGACTGCCCTTTGTGTAAAGAATGGTATTACAGCATTGTTCCATTCTTCACGATCAGAAGAATATGTTCCCGTTTAGTGACTTCGCTTTTACTGTTACTTCAGTCTTCCAAAGTGTGTGTTCTTTTTCATTTATTCGTTATCATTGATTCATTATGTAAACAGGGAGCTTGATTGAAAGCAGTGTGCAGGATAGACTGACATCACTGCCTTGCTCCTCTTTGTCCAGGCATTATGCTGTGGTGAGGGTCGAGGTATAGGAGTACCCGTTCAAGAGAACAATTTTTATTTCGGCAGAGAATACGGATTACTGAGGATGTACTCTGTTGTCATAAGAATCCGTCCTTCTTAGTGGAGTCATTTCTTCTCCATTTGCAGAAAGCATGCATTGGTATAGCTTGTGGCTGGGAAAAAGAAATTTTCATTTAAAGAAAATACTATCAAATATATTCGTGCCTCTTCTCCCCCTCCCCGCCCTTGCTCGCTCGCTCTCTGTATGTATGTATATACATATGTATGCACAAACACGTCACTTTCTCACACCTTCCAGTAGAAAAAATCTGGTGTAGAAGAGGTGGCCACTTCAGTTCTGTTTAGCCATTTGTTTACTGTGGCTACATACACATATTTTAGAAGCTGTGGGTGTTAAAAAAAAAGCACGTGAAAATACGTAGCTGTTCACATAAGTATCTTTAAAGATTTATTCATTTCTTGAACAGAGTTTGTTGGTTTATTTGAGGTTAATGGTAAATCAAAGTTTTGTGCTTATGTTACTGAGATAAACGTTCAAGAATTTTGTACCTGAGAAATGGGGCGATGAATTTAAGCAGATTTTTAAGGTACGTAAGCATTGTCTGATACCATAAGAAGCATGGGATATGTTAATATTTTTCAGTTAAATAGAAAACTTCTACTGACTGTCTCTAGAAACACGACCTTTCCTTTCATAATCGTTATCTTGGGCTGAATTTTTCAGGTTTATAAATGCAGCTTTCCAAGGTCATTGGAAAATATATACAGTATTTTTGATAGTGCTGAAGACATAGAAGATTGGAGCAAATCCTCCTGTAATTTGTTTAATTTAGTTCACAGACACTACAAGTCTCTCTAATGCAAGTCTTTAATACCGTTCTCCTGAACCCAGGTCAAACAGAGCTTTTGGAATTTCAGAACAAACTTGTCTTGAAAAATGAAAGCTTTTAATATAAACAACATGGAGCTTTTTATTTTACTTTTGACTTTCTTGGTTTTCTCCTAGGAAGAACAATTGCATAAGAATAATTTGAATGAAGAAAGGTATGTCAATACTCTGCATTAATGAAATGTATAAAAACATTAACAGTGAAATATAAATGTTCTTCTTTCCTGATTTTTAATTTTTTAAAAAGAATTTAGATGCTTCTAATTGTCTACTATTAAAAATACACAAGACCAGACAAACTGCAGGTATAAAAGGAGAGTAAGTGAGCAGAAGTCCAGTCCTCTGAGGATTCTTTGTCTCTAATATTTGAGAAAATTAATCACATTACTTAAGTTGTGTTTGGGGTTTTTTTAACTGAAATTGTTTCATGCAGATGTGAATCACCACCTGTCCCAGCAGTTAAGAACAGATTACACCAAGTACAACAAAAACAGATACATGCTTCTAATTTCCTGCTGCATAACAACAGTAGAAGAGAGAAAAATATCAAGACAGATACACAGCCGAGGAGCTCCCCTCCTCCCATTACAGAAGCTGGAAGACCTCCCTCTGCACAATTTATTCCCTATGTTCGAACAAATGAAGTATATTGCCTTGATCCAGATGCACCAGTGACCAGACCTTCAACACATGACCCACAGTATCGGCAGTTTAATGGTACTGAAATGTATTGTGAACTGATTCATGTAGAAGAGAAGAAATGTTACATTGATTTAGTTCAAAGTGCTACAATTTATTCAATTTGGTATTTGTTTTTACTGAATTCTGCAGTAACCCATGTGTGTCACAGCACTGTACAGAAAGCCTGTGCAACCAAATGATACTCTATTTAAAAAAAAAAAAAAAACACAGAAAAAGTTTAAAGAAATCAAAAAAGCAACAAAATTTCTTATTCTTTTATCTTTTTTGTCTGTTTACCTTTAACGAAGTATGATTGCACTTCTCTGGCATTATTGTATATAGATTTGGGTTTAGGAATCTAAGTGCTGTTTGACTTAAAAGTAGTGATTGTAATCTAATAGCAACTAAAACCTGATTTTTCACAAGCTGTGAAACATCTCCTGCTTCAAAATGAAAACAAAATTGATAGAGAGTATTGTTACCTGATTTGATATACATTTACTTGTAGATTCTTACCAAACGCCACGACAGATTTTTAGCTCTGATCACGTTAGAGATCCTCTTCTAAATCCTGATGTAGTTAAAATCAGAGAGAGACAACAAGCAATTCTCAAAGGACTGTCAGAATTACGCCAGGTAAGCAAAAATTTACTGGATAAACATGTATGTATATATGTACTAAAGTCAAAATGAGCATTGCAAACTATTACGTAGTCATAAGCATTGGCCTTTAATTCATTTTTCCATCATACATGGTTAAGTTTTGGGCCCTGTCCTCTACTTCTGTTGCCTCTTACTAATTTTGCTTTTCATGCATTGCTGCCACCTTGGGGCTGTCCTTAGGGAGAGACTGTGCGCCCCTTAGTCCTTAGATTAGCTATGAAACACTGGAGTACCTGAGAAAACTTGAAATCAAGAGGAATTTATGGCTTTATTTAGTCTCCAGGTTTTGATAGTTAGGGTTGCTTATAGTAAGAATGTTCCAATTTCAAGGGGAGAAAGAATAGGATTTTAACCAAACACTAGAACCCTTGTTAATGAAATTTCACGGGTAAGCCAGTCATGACGGAGCAGTGTGGTTGGTGTAGAAGAGTTAGTGGGGTGGTAGTCATGTGTCAGGCCTGGAAAAGTACCGTAATTTGCAAATTTGAAGTGTGAACACTTAGAAAATCCTTCCAAGGTAGCTCTTCTTTTGTTAACGTGTCAAAGTAAAATGCAGGATTTGTCAATCAGCCAGATTTAGTGAGTGACTATAAAATGAAATTTAGTTTAATACTACACACACAAGAGCTCCTGAGACAGAAGTCTGTCTCTGTTTCTATACATTGTTCTATTTGTAGGAAGTTACCAGTAATGATTAAATCTGCAGGATTGCCAGAAGGATTTTGAAAATGGTGAGACTGTCTTTAAGGATCCATGTTGCAGTAAATTAAAGCAGCACAAAAGATTATAGCTGATAACTGCGAAGTTCCATATTTTCCTGACTGGAGTAAGAACACCAGGAAAAATAGTGTCAGGCATCTAGTTACTAAAACAGGAGTGACTTTGATACTCCACCTGTTGGCAACAGGGTGTGGCCCATCGTGGATTCAAACCGCAGGTCTGGACAGTCGCAGGAACAGTTTTCCTTTTATGCTTCTAGATGGCCTGACAGGGGACTGCAAGACAAAAAAAACGATTTACTTTTAGGTTTGCATTTCGTTCTTGAAGCACACTAAAGATAAAAACGTATTAGTGTCTTCCCTTGTTTTTGAATGGCTCCGTGCTAAAAGGACTTTATTGCTAGCAGCACTATTTTTCTTGCCTCAAGGGAGAAGAATTGCATAAATGATTAAATTAAAGGGAAGAAAATGTGACAGACTTAAGTACAACAAAACTACCGGTAGTTACCACTATTAATTACCTGCTGTGCTTTAGAAAGACGGGTTCTGCGCATACATTGTGTTTCAGTAGTAGGTAAATGTCTTGTGCGAAGGAAGGGTCACGGCTCTCCCCACGGTATCGATCAAGAAAAGTTGTGACCCAGGAGCGCTGAAAGGTTGCCAGTTTCTAATGGCTTCCCAGTAGGTTTGACTGGACCTGGTCTTCCCCAATGCTCCTTAACGTTTTTGTTAAATACCCACAAGTTAAGAATTTTGTATTCAGGCTTCATTTGCCAGTGGTTAAGAATGAAGCCAGCTTCAAAGCCCAGTTTGATCCTTGTGCTTGCTGAGGTGACCAAAAGCCACGGATCTTTAAAGAGGTTTAAGGTGGTAACATCCATGTTGGCAAACTGAGGAGACAGCAGCGTAGGGGCATTTTGGATGCATGGTATGGTATATATTGAGGTCTCAACAGTGGCCAAAGCTAATGTTAAGGTTAGTCTTTCAATGGACCGTGGTTCTGGAAGACAGTTAAAACATGTAGCGTTCTTCTTTAAATATCCTACCAGCTGCCGGATGCATTTAGGGCATTAAAAGTGTTGAACTTGGGTGTATCTATCTCGTGTGCCTAAGTACTGTGTGCTCCTACAGGTGACACCTGTTTTGCATCAGTTATTTCCCTGAGAAAGTAATGCAATATTTGGTATGAAATATCATTTAGACAAAGAGCAGAGTCTACTTTTCTCTTTCAGAACATAACCTAGTTTTGGTTTTTAAAACTAGACATACATGCATATATATATTGGATTGATGGTTTCCGAATATATACGTATTCACAGCGTGTTTGGCCATTCTTTAGCCTTCTTTTGCCTGGGGGAATTCACAGCATCTTTGGCCAGTCTTTAGCCTTTGAAATACACCTTTGTTTCTCACCTCAGCTCTGTGTTGATTTAAGGCAATTTATTGCATGACTTTGTTTTGTAACACGCTACTGAATGCAAAAAACCCTCTGTAATAACAGTAATTCTTGACAAAGGGACTGAACAAGTCCGCTGGCCCATTAATAGAAACAGCAGACACTGCTGGTGAGTTAAAAAGCAATTCATCAAGTGACTGAAAGCTGCTGCTTTTGGAAGGGTGCAAAGCAAAGTCGAACCAGCTTCTTTCCTAACTGAAGCCGGTTCTGCGGGACCCCTCTCCCCTTCTGTGCCACCAGGAACACAGCATCCAAGTTGCTGTAGTCGCTGCCGGCCCGCATTAGGTCTAGCCTGACCTGTGCCAGCAGCCTGTAACCCTTCTCTTTGAGAAAGGTCTTGTAACTGAGGCGAAGTACCATTGTAGCTTACCCTCCTTGTTTTTTGGCAAACAAACTTCCTTGGTACCAGGTATCTTCTGACAGGTCTAAAACGGCTAGAGACCAAGGGGCCAGGTGTATCGATGCATATGAGCCTATTAATTACAGTAAAAAAGGCTTATTTCAAATTTATGAATGTACTAGACAGCTCTATCACGCATGACTGACTGATCACATAGCCCTACCATGTATGACTTACTCAGAGCCAGGGATACACTTCCAAGAATTTTTTATTACAGGTTTTCTCCACTGTCTAGTACTTAGGAGAGCCATTAACACAGCAGGAACCTTTTTACCTTTTGAGAGTAATTAAGAGTATTCTAAAGCATCCGACAAGGTTCTAGTTCAAATGGTAATGCTGGCCTTCAAGTATAATTTACGTGAAGACTAAAAGCTGGTACCGGTCACGGTTTTGGGTTCAGCTTCATACAAGAATACACTAGAATACCACAAAGGCAGTGACAAGGCAGAGGAGCGAGCACGTTAAATTTAGCACAGTGCAGGGTCGTCCCCAGGAGCCGGGCTGGCTCCCGCCTCCGCCACACACCAGGCCTTCTGCGGAAGGCAGGACATCTCGAGTTCCCGCTCTGCTGAGTGTATTGCGTTGTACTGCTTTTTTAAAGTTGTGTACTTAAAAAGCATTGAGCCTTTTAAAATATGAAACAGTGACACTTTATTTCAGGCTGCACAAGGAAGACAGCAGATTCACATTTATATTCCATTTATTGCAGGGCCTCCTGCAGAAGCAGAAGGAGCTGGAGACTGCTC